GAAGTACACAGTGAGATCCTGTCTCAGAAAATGAAATAATTGCCAGGTGGACAGCCAAATTCTCTGCATGTAATTGAGATAATGTTTGAACTCCATGTGTAGGAAAGGAATATTCTTAAGCCCTAAAACATACTGGTACTAAGAAAACCAAGACTTTCTGAGCACAGAAACTGGGAAACTGTCTTCTGAGCAAAGATTTCCTTTCCTCGCAGATACATTGGATAAGAAGTACTTGATAGGAAATAAGGAGAATGGTTATGTTGGCTTAGCTGTAGTGGAATTATGGTCCAGAACACTAGACCAAGGACTAAGTGGCCAAGTTTGACAGGATTAACAGTTCTTTAGAAAGAGTGCTTATCCTTTATTAAATGAAGGGGCCCTCTCTTTGAGAAACTGGGCAAGAGGACAAGTGTGGTGCCTGTAACTTGAAGTTTGGAGGTCATTGAGGTGGTTGTTCTTTCCCTCCACAAGTCTTAATTCATTATAAAGTCTTGTGATTCTAATTTACAGGTATGCGTTTTAAGTATATCTAAAGCTTTCCTCTGAATTGTTTGCTTATATATTTTAATCTTTTCTTCCCTGGAATATGATAATAGTTACTGGTTGGCCCCATCTCCTATTGGCCTGCTTCTCTCTTCCCTCACAGAGTCTCAAGATGATCTTTCTGAAACATGAATAGGATGATGTCATGATCCTTCAGCTCCCACGGAATCCAGCCTAGCTCTCCTGCCCCACTTCCCCTGCCCAGCTCTCCACCCTTGCCTCCATTCACCTGCTTGTAGCTTCCTGTACCTTCCTACCTCTTACTCTGCCTAGAATATGCTTTTTCCCCTACCTACTGAACAAGCCCCTGCTGGGAACCCCAGACCAAATGTCTTCTCTGTGGAACCTTCCCAGCCTCCCCCCAATCCAGCCAGTAAAATGAGCTTTCTCAGTCATCCCTGGAGTACCCTTGACCACTGTGCTTTGCATACCAGGTTTCTGGATCTCATGCTGCTAAGGGAGTCCATAGTTTCTCTCTGCAGAGCCACCTCCCAGGATGGCAGTGGACACATATGAGCAATTGAATTAAGTGTGTGTTGATTACTCTGTTATGGGAGATAGAACTAGGAGCTTGAGGACTTAGTCCATTGAATGGCAGTGCTGAGAGCATGAATAGCTTGTATCTTTTATGAATGTGAGCTCACAATGTTTGCTGTAGCCTTCTCCTCCCCTGCACTCTGACCTTACCCATCAGAGAAACAGTGGACTTACATATGATGTGAACACCTGTTTCTGGGTCCAGAACTCTGCCTCACCAATACCCTGATGAACAAACCTCTGATTTGTTTAGTGTTTTTAATAAATGCAGTCACAGATACCTCAAAGCTACCCTCTTACCTTCCACCCTCACCTCAGCTATTTAACCCAACTCCATACCTCTTTGTCCCTAGGCCATTACTAAGTAGTTGATCACTTCATCCAGCTTGGAGCTTGATTTTCTGAGGTCAAATACCATATCCTTCCTGATACGCCACATTGTCCCTCTGCCAGGCCATGTTTCTCCTATAACTGTTGGTGCCAAAGCCATGACGGAGGCAGTAGTTGTTAGTCATTGCTTCCTCCATTCACTACTTCATCCTGTCATCAAACTGGATGACATGATATATAATTTTACCCTAAGGGCCTCAGTCTAATGGGAAAAAAATACTTAAAATGGAGTTAGTTTAAGTTAGGGAAAATTGCCTTGGAAACACAAGGGGTGTTGGGCAAATGAGAAGTCCAGGAAGCCTTCCAGGAGGAGGTGACATTGGGGCTGGGTCTTGACAAGTAAATGAAAATCCTCAGGGCAGAGAAGAGCACTCTAGGAAGAGGAAACAGAACTAAAGGACTAAAGGTGGGAAAAGGCAGGGAGAGATCTAGGAAGGTGAGGCTTGGCAGGGCTCAAGCTGCTGGGTACTTAATGGCAGGGGAGGGAGATCCCTGTCTCCCAGGGGTTTTCTCCCAAGCCCTGTCTTTGTGGGAATGGCAGGTGCCCCGGGCCTCCCTCTGCCCCACATGCTGTCCCACGGCTGAGCGAAGTTTCTGGGGCTGGGGCCGTTGGCAGTTCCACCTGCTCCGGCGGGTGGCATCCCAGAAGGAAAGAGGCAGGGGAGGAAGCAGATAAGAAAGACAGCTTCTGTTTAGACACAAATATCTTGGTAATCAGCACAGATGGGATGAGAAATACCAAAAAAAGTACATGACAGTTTAGAGAGAATTTGGCTAAATGTTACATATTTTTTAACATACCTGTGTAGAGTCTTTGGAATAAGCACCTGAGTCCCTCAGGTCCTGACTGGGGATGGGGGCCTGCCTCAGTCAAGCAGTGTTTTTGTTTCAGGAACATTCCCTTCCCCATCCACAAAAGTATCCTTGTGATTTTTTTTTTTCTTCCACCAAAATAAGGCACAGGATTTGTCTCTGACGCTGTGTCTCCCTATTTGGATGGCAAGCTGTGTAACATATTTCTACCCAGCGTGAAGCTTCTTGGCAGACTCTTGAGGCCACGTTTTGGTGGCTTCAGAGTTATCTTTGGATCTGTCAAAAGTGCTAATGGGCTTTCTGGCCTTCTTTAAGCTCCTCATTTCTATTTTCTTTTTACTTCCATTCTCTCCTAAAAGAAAAATTCATGTAATTCATCAGCAGTTAAGCTTTTGCTAAAATGCTCAGCTGAAGGCCTCATATTTTTGTTTGTGAGAAGAGCTCTGCCATGTCACTGTCTTCTGAACAAAACCCATCCTGACATCATTAGCTCAGCGTTCCTCAGTCCACCCAGAGAGACACTTCTTGTCTAATTCAAACTCTCCTGGTGTTTATTTTGTTTTATTTTTCATTGAAGGTGTCAAGAGTAAGTTGGCATGGTGGCTAGAATCTGAGTTTTGGATTGAGGAGACCTTGTTTTGAAACTTGGTTCTGCCCTTTCTAGCTAGGTGACTTTTAGGAGACTACCAAACCTTCCTGAGCCTCAGTTTTGCCATCTATAAAATGTGCATGGTAGTGCCTATCTTAGGCTTGTTAGGAGAGATTAGAAAGAACACAGGTAAAGCACCCATTGCCAGGCACATAATATTACTCAATAAAAGGGCAGCAATAATTTTCAAAAGAAATAAATCCACCTTTCTTAGGACGTACTTAATCTTGTTTTGTTACTATTTTGAGGTTTTCTTTTTCCAAATGTAATTTTGACCTGCAATTTAGCGGTAAAAAAGAGCACAGACTGAATCATGTCTTATCCACTCACTGTGTGGCCTTTGTTGAATTATATCGCTCCTCCCAACCTCTATTTTCCCTTCTTTAAATGGGGAGAATAACACCTTGTTCAAGGAGTGATTTCAAGATTAAGTGAAATAATGTATATAAATCCCCATACATGGTAGTTATAGAAAGATATTAAAGAAGGACGAGATAAGGTAGGGGAAAATGTATAGGCTGTGAATTCAGATCTATTTCCTCATCAATGAATCTCTCCCAGACAGTTTCTCTGTCTCTATGTTAGAAAGAATAATACCCGACTGGAATTTTGTGAGAATTCCATAAGGTTACACATTCAAAGTGTCTGGTACAGTAACTGGCACTTGGTAACTACTCAGTATGTGGAGCTAGTAATTCACACACTCTGTATTTATAAACGTTGATAGTTAACCAAGTACTCCAGTCAAACAATAATAAATCGTAAGATAAATGCCCATTCTTATTCCCAACCCATAATATTGTTGAAAAGCATTTTATGCTATTTTGCATGTAAAATCTACCTGGTTTACTTCAATTTATGGGCTATAGATCTTTAATCATTATTAACTGCAGCCCCTGGCAATAGCATTCTTTCCCACCCCCAACCTCTTTGATTTGCAGAGGATTATACTGTGCAGCATTGAAAACCTGTAACATTTAAGAAATTAGCATATTCATGTGTGTTATTAAAGTCAGGTGGGTACAGAAAGGGTTATAGAAATGAAGCACTTTCTATTTTTTCTTAAACATGAAGAGTACCAATCTATAGTACTAATTAAAGAAATGAAGCCCAGGTTACAGAAAAAAAAAATCTAGTTAAAACACTGCTTTGTCACAACTTGCTATTTGTCTTTGGTTTTTTTTTTCTTTTGAGTGAAATACTTGGAAATTGTAAATCTTTGAAAATGCTTTAATTCTGGCTAAGCCATTTTAGAGAATGTAAGCTGTGGAGGAAGGAACATGAGCAGTGAGGACAGATGCATGCCTGGCCGTGGCAGCAGTGACCTATTAGAGGCAGGCTCTGTGCCAGAAGTGCTTCAATCCCTGGGGGAAGGTGTGTGTATAACACTTGGGACTGAACCTTTGCCCTGAGCTGCATCCCCAGCCCTTTTAATTTTGAGACTTGGTCTTACTAAATTGCCCATCCTGTACTCCAACTTATGATCCTTCTGCCTTAGACTTTCATAATGTTGGGATTATAGGCAGGTACCATCATCCCCAGCTGAGTACTTATTTTGCTTAGATACATGGTACAGTATATTGGGAAAGTTCTAGGGTTTGGGGTCTGAAGATTTGATCAGCAGTCTTGTCTTCATGGCTTTTTAGACCATTTGATCTTGGCAAATCTCTCTGAGCCTTGGTTTCTTCATTTGTAATTACATTGCAGAATTCCTGTCATTTTTACCTTTCAGAACTGATGTGAAGAGCAAACACAGTGTTGTACACAACCTCATGTTGTAAATTAATCACACAAAGACACAGTTGTTCAGACTGCTCATCTCTAAGGGTCTCTTCCATCTTTACATTTCTTGATTTTTTTTTTTTTGAGACAGGATGAGTGTTGGGTTTACAGGCATGTGCCACCACTCTCAGCAACATTTCCTGATTTTATACCTGAGTGGGATTTGGTAGAAACAGTAAGGGGAAGAAGAGAGTATGCTTTCTCATTATTTTCTGTTTCTCATGTAGATACTATTTGTAATAAGAAGCAAAGTAAATCACAAACCTTGCTTTCTGCTTTCTCCTAGAGAAATCTGACAGAATATTTTGTGGCTGTGGATGTAAACAACATGTTGCATCTGTACGCCAGTATGCTATATGAGCGCCGGATACTCATCATCTGCAGCAAACTCAGCACTGTAAGTAGGCCATCTTGAAGTGAGCTTTTCAATGACTTAATTTTAATTAAAAGACATATCAATAAAATTAAAGAAAATTTTAGGTAAAGCAATCCGCCCTAATTCCCCTCATGTAGTAGCACATCGTTTTCATTAATTATTCATGTTCTTTTACAGTGTCAAAGCATATTTCATTTGTTTTTGTAATTTTATAATTATAGTTTTTCTTTTGATTATGTGTTATGAACATTGTACATGTTTCTACATGAGCTTTCATTATTGTCAGTTTTTTGTTTTTTGTTTTTTTGGTACTAGGGATCGAACTCGGGTCCTTGCGCTTGCACAGCAGGTGGCCAAACCACTGAGCTAAATCCCCTGCCCAGCAAATGAGTTCTCTGTTTTTTGGTTTTTGGTGCCGGGGTTCGAACTCGGATCCTTGCACTTGCAAGGCTGGCAATGGAACCACTGAGCTAAATCCCCAGCCCCTAATTGTCAGTTTTTAAATGTCTATAACATTCCATTATACGTCTTTCACTGTTTTTTTCTTCTTGATGGTCATTTAGGTTATCCATAGGTAAATCCTCTGATAGATAATACTGCAGTGAACATCTTTCAGCTTCTTTTGACTGATGTAATTCATAATCTAAGGAGTAGGACCACCAGATCAGAGTCTGGTAAACACTGTGACCTGGCTACCAAATTGCTCCCCAACAGGCTATGCTTGTAAATATTGCTAGCTGTATAGTCTTTACCTTTTTGGCTGCAAACTTTCCAGAATTACGTGTGTTCATGAATTTGCTTTAATTTTGCTAATAAAGTAGATGCTAAAATGGTATTTTGGGCTTTCTTTAATTTTAATTTCTTTGGTTAGAGCTGACTATTTTCCATGGGTTTGTTTGCAAGGTATATTTTGTTAACATCTTTTTCCACTATCTTGTGGGAGGGTGGTATATTCTTATAAATTAGAATGAGCCCTTTATATATTGTAATAACTTTTGCTGTATGTATATTTTCTTATTTGTTTTTAGTTTTTCACTTGCTAAGTATAGTTTCTGTTTTCCTGAATATTTTATTATAAAATTCTTCAGCATCATAGAAGTCAACATCATTTTGTACTGAACACTGATATAATTTCAACTAGATTTTACCAGTAACAATTTACTGTAGTTGCTTTAGCATAAATTCATCCATCTATCTACCCATCCTTCACACCATTTAGCAATCCGTCTCTTACTTTTTTTTTTCTTCAGTGCGAGGTATTGACCCAGGGCTTCATGCATGCTAGAAAAGTCCTTTACCACTGAGCTATAACCAGAGTGCCCACCCCCACTTTTCTTTTTTCAATCCTATTTTCTGGTGCATTTCAAAGTAAATCATGGTCTTCAGTATATTTTTTCCTAAATAATTCAATATCTGTTTTGCAGGATTTGTTGTTTTAGGCAATACTTGCATACAAAAATTGCCTGGAAGTAGAATGTCTAAAATGCATCACTTTGTTAAAGAGAGGGGAGAAACTTTTGTGTACTGTAGGGGGGGTTCCGAATGAAGGACCTATGGGTAAAATAATTATGCATTTACTTGTGAATGAAAGGCACCTAATACTGAAAATTTCATGAGACTATTAGAGTTTTCTTTATGGTTTTCTTCATAGCTTCATTTTTGTATTTCTTGAATTAGTTGCTTGTCAAGAATTCACAGAATCCTTTTTTCTTTTGTATTACCTAGTATGTACAAGTCTAACATGCAATAGGTGATAAAAGTATGGCCTTTGTCACCAAGGTAAAAATAGCTCATGACATCAATCTCTTGCTTTAACATTTTATTTTACATAAATACAGTTTATAATCTCAGGGTATGGACACTCAGACTGAGCTGCAGAATGAGAATATTGCTAACCATATTTATCATTGCCTCTCTATACAGCTTGCATAGAACAAGGGAACATTGGGAAGAATCTAGCTGTTCCTTTGGGCCTTTAAACTGCAACCAAAAGAAAAGGGACATCATCTTGATAGAAATGAATTTCCTACAATTTAATCATGATATTTTGGGACCCTTAATATATGCCAGTCACTCTCCCAAGCACTTTTCCTATATTAACTCATTCAGTCTTCACTATGTTTCATTTTTTTATGTGTTTTTGTTTTTTTGTGGTACCAGGATAGAACTCAGGACCTTGCGCTTGTGAGACAGACGTGGTGCCACTGAGCTAAATCCCCGGCCCTCAGTCTTCACTATGATAGCTTTGATGGGTTCTGTTATTACTTCCCACTTACAGATTAGAAAGAGTGTTTTTTTTTTCTGTGTAATTTTGTTCGCATAAATGTAGTGGGTTAAACATACAGTTATTTCTGCTCCTTTCCAAAACTAAAATGAAATCTACCATAGGAATAAATTACAAACACAAAGAACAGATGCAGCATACATTTTTAAAATAGTAAGAGAATACTGTTATCAACTTTATGCCAGTATTTGAAAACTAAAGCATAATGGGGAGAAAAATATAATTTACCATAATTGACTCAGAAAGAAATAGAAGAATTGAATATGTCATTTAATTTATAGAAATTAAATCAATACTTGAAAATATTCACTGTATAAAACATTTAGCCAACATAGTTTTAGAGTTATGTTTTATCCGGAATGTTAAGGAATAGATCATTTCTATCCTAAACCAACTCAAATCTAGAACAAAAAGGGAGTAGCCCAGGTTTTCTTGCAATGCTTGTCAATCATGATATTCAATCACAGAAAGAGTCAATACAAGAAAAATTATCAGTGTCACTCATTAACGTAGTCCTAAAAATCACAAGCAAAATAGTTAGCAGATGCATTTAAAGTCTTAATAGCTAAGTTGAGTTGATTTTAGAAATGTAAGATTGAAGATCTGTTAATATAGCTTACACATTAATGTATTAAAAGGGAAAACTCATATAGTCACCTATAAGTGCAGAGGAAGCATGACCATATTCACAAATAGACTCAATATTTTGAATATGTCACTTCATTCCAAATTGATCTATAGATGGAATATGATTCCACTCACAATCTAGCAAGGCTTTACATAGTACCTGTCATGCTGATTCTAAAATTAATATGGAAAAGCCAAAGAAAATCAAGACATACTTCAAGAAAAAGATTAGGCTGTAGAAGCTTGCCTTACCAGACATCGAAATTTTTCATAAAGCTGTAATAATTAAGTTCTGCTAGTGCAGCAGAGATAGCTAGCCTGATAGAGCACCTAGAACCAGAACACATGTGTCTGGGCTCTTGATAAGAGTAGAGGCACTGGACAATATGTGGACAATAGATGGGCATTTCAGTAACTGGGTATACGTATGAAAAAGAAGGCAATTTCTCTCTTACTCATGTACATGTGTAAAGCAAAATTTAAAAATTTTTAGAAGACAAATTTCTCTGTGATCTTGGAGTAAAGTGTTTAAAGATGATTCAAATTATACATTGTATAAAGGAAAAGATTAAAATTAAAATTGTGGACCTGTGTTTATTAAAAATACCATTGAGAGACTGGAAAGACAAAAGCTGAGACAAGGGGGCTGGGGATTTAGCTCAGTGGTTCCACCACCTGCCTTGTAAGTACAAGGTCCCGAGTTTGATCCCTGGTACCAAGAAAAACAAAAAAACAAAACCAAAAAAAACCCAACAAAGACTGAGACAAGATATTTGCTATATATAAAGCAGATAGAGGCATAGTGTCAGAAATATATTAAGACCACGTTTAGAAAGCAGAAGACTTATCAATAGAAAAAATTGACAAAATACATGAATTGGTATTTCATACAAGAAATACAAATGGCTAAATAACTATTTGGAAAAATGTTCAACCACAATAATTACAGAAAAGCACATTAAAAACTACAGTGAACATACAATGGGTACACACTTGTAATCTCAGCACTCTGGAAGCCTGAGGCAGGAGGAGCACAAGTTTGAATCCAGCCTAGGTATCTTAGCAATGCAGGGAGAACCTAACCTACATTTTTTTTTTTTTTTTTTTTTTTGGTACGGGAATCAAACTTGGGTCCTTGTGCTTGCGAGGCAGGCGGCAGAACCACTGAGCTAAATCCCTGCCCCGGAGAACCTGTCTTAAAAAAAAAAAAAAAAAAAGGGCCAGGGATTTAGCTCAGTGGTTCTGCTGCCTGCCTCGCAAGCGCAAGGACCCAAGTTCGATCCCTGGTACCAAACAAAACAAAAACCCTTTAACAAAAGGGCTGGGGATATAGCTCAGTGATCCTGAGTATCACCAAACAAAAATAAACCTCAGTATGGGCCAGGGATTTAGCTCAGTGGTGCCATGCCTGCCTTGCAAGCACAAGGTCCTGAGTTCAATCCCCGGTATCAAAATAAAAAATAAAAATAAAAATAAACCTCAATAGATTTGCAAATATTAGGTGTCTGACAAAGGTAGTTACTGCAACTATTGGACTCTGACCTTATAGTTTATAGTAAGTAAACTAATGAGTGTGGCCATGTTCAACAAAGCTTTATGTACAAAAAAAGGCCACACTTGGCCTTTTTTTTTTTTTTTTTTGTACTGGGGATCGAACTCAGGACCTTATGCTTGCAAAGCAGGCAGCGGAACCACTGAGCTAAATCTCCAGCCCCACACTTGGCCTTTTTACATATTTTGCTGACCCCCTAAGCTAGGAGGTAGATTGTACTACACTTGACCTTAGCCAAAAGGCTAAGAAGCGATTACTAGGAGGTAGATTGTAGGTTCTTAGGTTTTTTTCTTTAAATGTTGTTATATGATTTACATTTTATGTGCATTTATAAAAAATGTTTAAATTAAAAAAGATACTAGGAAAAAAAATAAAGAAAAAAAAAGATACTAGGTCCCTTTATCAGGCAAATTTAGACTCTCAGAGCTAAGAGACAAAGTAGTTCTTGTACAAAGGTTAAGAATCAAAATTACCCAAGATTTTGTCATTCTGCAAACCAAAAGACAATGAACTGGTGTCTTGGGCTTCTAAGCGAAAGTGATTTCTAAACTAGAATTC